TTGCGGCGCGCGGCGTTGCGCGGCAGCTGGCGGATCTCCCGGAAGAGCTCCTGCTCCTCCAGCTCGAAGAGGCGCCGGTGCTCCTCGCGCAGCAGCGGCCGGTCCCAGAAGGAGCCCACGAAGACCCGCGGCACCTCGGGCGTGTCCAGGGCGCGGCCCAGGCTCCAGAGCAGCGCCCCGTAGACGCGCAGCAGCTGCTGGGCGCCCAGCGCGTCCGCCTTGTTGAGCACCACGCGCAGCTTCTCCTCGTGGCCGCGCAGCGCCGCCAGCGCCGCCGAGAACTCCTCCGAGATCTCCAGCTTGTGCGCGTCGAAGAGCAGGATCACCAGGTCCGAGCGCTCGGCGAACCAGCGCAGCACGGCCGGGAAGTGGTAGCCTGGAGACAAGTGTGGGGTTGGATCCCGAAATTCGGGTGGAAATCCTAAATCTGGCCTTAAATCTGAAATAATCCAACCCAAGAACCAGCGCAGCACGGCCGGGAAGTCGTAGCCTGGGGGAAATGTGGGGTTGGATCCCGAAATTCGGGTGGAAATCCTAAATCTGGCCTTAAATCTGAAATAATCCAACCCAAGAACCAGCGCAGCACGGCCGGGAAGTCGTAGCCTGGAAACAAGTATGGGAATGGATCCCTAAATTCGGATGGAAATCCAAAATCAATCCCAAATCAATCCCAAATTCTGAAATAGGAACCAGCGCAGCACGGCCGGGAAGTCGTAGCCTGGAAACAAGTATGGGAATGGATCCCTAAATTCGGATGGAAATCCAAAATTCAACCCTAATTCTGAAATAATCCAACACTAAAACCAGCACAGCATGGCCGGAAAATATGGGATTGGATCCTGAAATTCGGATGGAAATCCAAAATCCAGCCCTAATTCTGAAATAATCCAAGCCAAGAACCAGCGCAGCACGGCCGGGAAGTCGTAGCCTGGGAAACAAGTGTGGGGTTGGATCCCGAAATTCGGATGGAAATCCAAATTCCAGCCCTAATTGTGAAATAATCCAAGCCAAGAACCAGCGCAGCACGGCCGGGAAGTCGTAGCCTGGGAAACAAGTGTGGGGTTGGATCCCGAAATTCGGATGGAAATCCAAATTCCAGCCCTAATTGTGAAATAATCCAAGCCAAGAACCAGCGCAGCACGGCCGGGAAGTCGTAGCCTGGGAAACAAGTGTGGGGTTGGATCCCGAAATTCGGATGGAAATCCAAATTCCAGCCCTAATTGTGAAATAATCCAAGCCAAGAACCAGCGCAGCACGGCCGGGAAGTCGTAGCCTGGGGGGGAATGGGGGGATGGATCCCGAAATTCCGATGGAAATCCAAATTCCAGCCCTAATTCTGAAATAATCCAAGCCAAGAACCAGCGCAGCACGGCCGGGAAGTCGTAGCCTGGAAACAAGTGTGGGGTTGGATCCCGAAATTCCGATGGAAATCCAAAATCCAGCCCTAAATCTGCCCCAAATCCTGCCCTAATTCTGAAATAATTCATTGTAAGACCCAGCGCAGCACGGCCGGGAAGGCGTAGCCTGGAAACAAGTGTGGGCTTGGATCCCGAAATTCCGATGGAAATCCAAAATCCAGCCCTAATTCTGAAATAATTCATTGTAAGACCCAGCGCAGCACGGCCGGGAAGGCGTAGCCTGGAAACAAGTGTGGGCTTGGATCCCGAAATTCCGATGGAAATCCAAAATCCAGCCCTAATTCTGAAATAATTCATTGTAAGACCCAGCGCAGCACGGCCGGGAAGTCGTAGCCTGGGAACAAGTGTGGGGTTGGATCCCGAAATTCGATGGAAATCCAAAATCAATCCCAATTCTGAAATAATCCAACCCTAAAACCAGCGCAGCATGGCTGGAAAATGTGGGGTTAGATCCCGAAATTAGGATGGAAATCCAAAATCAATCCCAAATCCTGAAATAATCCAACCCAAGAACCAGCGCAGCACGGCCGGGAAGTCGTAGCCTGGGGGGAAATGTGGGGTTGGATCCCAAAATTCCTAAACCAATCCCAAATCCTGCCCTAATTCTGAAATAATTCTGAAATAATCCAACCCTAAAAGCAGAGCAGCCCGGCCGGGAAGTCGTAACCTGGAAAAATACGGGATTGGATCCCAAAATCCCGATGGAATTCCTAAATCCTGCCCCAAATCCTGCCCCAAACCCACCCCCCAAGGGATGGCTCAGCCCGGGGGGAGGGAAAAGGGAGTGGAAAGGGAAAAAAAAAGAGAAAAAATGGGAAAAAAAGGAGGAAAATGGGGGAAAAAAAAAATAAAGGAAAAAGTGGGGGGGGATGGGGGATAAAAGAGGGGGAAATGAGAAAAAATGGGGAAAAAGGGAGGAAAAGGGGGGAAAAGGTGGGGGGGAAGGGGAGAAAAAGAGGAGAAAAGGAGAAAAAAAAGGGGGGAAAAGGAAAAAGGGGGAAAAAAGGAGGGAAAGGGGTAAAAAAAGGGGGGAAAAGGAAAAAGGGGGAAAAAAGGAGGGAAAGGGGTAAAAAAAGGGGGGAAAAGGAAAAAGGGGGAAAAAAGGAGGGAAAGGGGTAAAAAAAGGGGGGAAAAGGGAAAATGGGGAAAAAAGGAGGGAAAGGGGCAAAAAAAGGGGGGAAAAGGTGGGGGGGAAGGGGAGAAAAAGAGGAGAAAAGGAGAAAAAAAAGGGGGGAAGGAGAAAAAAAGGGAAAAAAGAGAAAAAAGGGAGGAAAAGGGAAAAAAGGGCCCAAATCCCTGATCCTGTTTTGGGGCTGGAATCCCTGATCCCGGGGTGGATCCCAGGATGGGTTCCAGGGTGGATCCCCAGGGAAATCCCAGGGTGGATCCTAGTGGATCCCATGGTGGATCCCAGCCCAGCTCACAGCCCAGATCCCACCACAGCTCCCAGGATGGATCCTGGCAGATCGCAGGTCCCAGTGGATCCCAGCCCAGATGCCACCTCAGATACCAGGCTGGATCCTAGCGGATCCCACACCCAACTCACCAATTTAGGAACCCGTTCCCAGTGGATCCCACCACAGCTCCCACCCCCACCTTCTAGTGGATCCCACCCCCAACTCACTGACTGGGGAACCCATTCCCATTGGATCCCAGCCCAGATCCCAGCAGATCCCAGCCCAGCTCACCGGTTGAGGAACCCGTTCCCAGGGGATCCCAGCGGATCCCACCCCCAGCTCACCAGCTGAGGAAGCCGTTCCCAGCAGATCCCAGCCCATTCCCAGTTGATCCCAGCGGATCCCAGCCCAGTTCCCAGGGTGGACCCCAGCCCGTTCCCAGTGGATCCCAGCCCATTCCCAGTTGATCCCAGCGGATCCCAGCCCAGTTCCCAGGGTGGACCCCAGCAGATCCCAGCAGATCCCAGCCCCTCTCACTGGTTGAAGAAGCTGTTCCCAGTGGATCCCAGCCCGGATCCCAGCCCACTCCCAGCGGATCCCATCATCTCCCATCATCTCCCAGCAGATCCCACCCCACCCCACCCCCCTCACTGGTTGAGGAAGCCGTTCCCAGTAGACCCCAGCCCAGATCTCAGTCCATCTCCCAGCGGATCCCAACGAATCCCAGTGGATCCCAGCCCATTCCCAGCAGATCCCAGTGGATCCCAGCCCACCCGTCAGTTGAGGAAGCCGTTCCCAGCGGATCCCAGCCCAGTTCCCAGGGTGGACCCCAGCCCGTTCCCAGTGGATCCCAGCCCATTCCCAGTTGATCCCAGCGGATCCCAGCCCAGTTCCCAGGGTGGACCCCAGCAGATCCCAGCAGATCCCAGCCCCTCTCACTGGTTGAAGAAGCTGTTCCCAGTGGATCCCAGCCCGGATCCCAGCCCACTCCCAGCGGATCCCATCATCTCCCATCATCTCCCAGCAGATCCCACCCCACCCCACCCCCCTCACTGGTTGAGGAAGCCGTTCCCAGTAGACCCCAGCCCAGATCTCAGTCCATCTCCCAGCGGATCCCAACGAATCCCAGTGGATCCCAGCCCATTCCCAGCAGATCCCAGTGGATCCCACCCCTCGCACCGTTTGAGGAAGCCGTTCCCAGCAGATCCCAGCCCAGATCCCAGGGTGGATCCCAGCGGATCCCAGCCCATTCCCAGTGGGTCCCAGCCCAGTTCCCAGGGTGGATCCCAGCCTGTTCCCAGCCGATCCCAGCCAGTTCCCAGCGGATCCCAGAGGATCCCTGCCCCTCTCACCGGTTGAGGAAGCCGTTCCCAGCCCAGATCCCAGCCCATTCCCAGCGGATCCCAGCCCAGTTCCCAGCAGATCCCAGCAGATCCCAGCGGATCCCCCCCTCACTGGTTGAGGAAGCCGTTCCCAGCAGATCCCAGTGGATCCCAGCCCGTTCCCAGCGGATCCCAGCAGATCCCAGCCCAGATCCCAGCAGATCCCAGGGGATCCCACCCCCCTCACCAGTTAAGGAAGCCGTTCCCAGCGGATCCCAACCCAGATCCCAGTGGATCCCAGCCCAGTTCCCAGGGTGGATCCCAGCCCNGGTTAGGGGGTTTTTGGGGTTTTTTTAGGGGGCTTTGGGGTTTTTTTAGAGGGTTTTAGGGGGGTTTAGGGGATATTGTAGGGGGGTTTAGGGGATTTTAGGGGATTATAGGAGATCTTTTAGGGGATTTAGGGGATTTTAGGGGGATTGTAGGGGGTTTTGGGGGATTTTAGGAGATATTTTAGGGGATTTTAGGGGGATTTTAGGGGGTTTTAGGTGGTTTAAGGGATTTTAGTGGGATTTTAGGGGGTTTTAGGGGATATTTTAGGGGGTTTAGGGGATTTTAAGGGGCAGCAGATCCCAGCCCAGATCCCAGCGGATCCCCCGCCCTCACCGGTTGAGGAAGCCGTTCCCGAAGGCCTCCAGCTGCCGGAAGGGTTTGCTGGGATCCACCACCAGCGCGTTGCCCGGGATCAGCCCCGGCGCCGGGCCGTGCATGACGGCCACGAAGCCGTCGGTGCTGGGCTCGGGGCCCAGGCGCGCGCCCGGCACCGGCGCCTCCAGCAGGTACCGGATCAGGGAGCTCTTCCCGCTCGAGCACTGGCCCAGCACCAGCACCGCCGGCTTGGCCTCGAAGTCGGCGTCGGCCAGCGGCGGCCAGCGCAGCCCGGCGCGCCCGCACAGCTCCTCGGCCGGCAGCAGCTTCGACTTGTAGAGGGACTTCATGGACTCGGTCACCGGGGACACCGCGGCGGGCGCCGGGCGAGGGCGGCGCAGGCGGCGGAACATGGCCCGGGGGGAGACGGGGGGGGTTTGGGGGGTTTTTTAGGGGGATTGTAGGGGGTTTTGGGGGATTTTAGGAGATATTTTAGGGGATTTTAGGGGGATTTTAGGGGGTTTTAGGTGGTTTAAGGGATTTTAGTGGGATTTTAGGGGGTTTTAGGGGATATTTTAGGGGGTTTAGGGGATTTTAAGGGGGTTTAGTGAGATTTTAGGGGGTTTTGGTGGGTTTTAGGGGTTTTTTTTGGGAATTTTTAGGAGATTTTAGGGGGTTTAAGGGATTTTAGTGGGATTTTAGTGGGATTGTTAAGGGGTTTTAGGGGGTTTAAGGGATTTTAGGGGATTTCTTTGGGGGTTTTAGGGGATATTTTAGGGGGGTTTTAGAGGATATTTTAGGGGGATTTTTAAGGGATTTTAGGGGATTTTATAGGGGATTTTAGGAGATTTTTAGGGAATTTTAGGGGGATTTTTTAGGGGATTTTAGGAGGGAAAAATGGGAAAAGGGGGGAGAGGCTCAGCTGGAGAGGGGAACCATGGAGGGGGAAGGGAGGGATTCCCACCTGGATCCCCCAAATGGGGCAGAAAAAGGAGAATTTTGGGGGTTTTGTGTGGAAAACTGGAGCAGGAAAAGAGAATTTTGGGGATTTAGCCCCAAAAAATCCAGGTGGGAAAGGAAGGTCAAGGAGGGGGGGGTGTCCCAAAAATTGAGATTTAGGGATCTGAGCTGGAAAAACGAGGGAAAAAATGAGGATTTGAGGGGTTTTCCCTGCAAGAGTGATGAGAAAAACAAAGTTTTCGGGAGCTTTTCCCTTAAAAGGAGGGAAAAAACGGAGCTGGAGGAATTTTTTCCATAAATCCGAGCCAGAAGTGAAAGTTCAGGGAGGAGCTGCCGAAAACTGAGGGAAAATGAGGGCGCTGGGCTTTTTTCCTGTCAAAATAAGCAGAGAAATGAAGTTTTAGGGATTTCCTTATAAAATCAAAGGGGAAAAATGAGGATTTTCTTTTTTTTTTCCTGTAAAAATAACGAGAAAAACAAATTCGCACTTTTTTCCCCACAAAACCTAACCGGAAAAGGAACTTTTAGGGATTTTTTTTCGATAAAAACGAGTCCAAAACACGAAGTTTTTGGGATTCCCTGCCGGAAGTGGAGCAGGAAAAGGGAATTTTGGGGATTTTTTTCCCAGAAAAACAAGAAATCCCAAACTTCCCCCACCCAAAGAGGCGGAAACCCCAAAGTTCCCGGCATTTCCTCTCTCCCCATTCCACAAAAATCCCTTTGCCCTCCCTGCCCGGGGGAAAATCCCCATTTTCTGCCCAAAATTCTTATTTTCCACCCCAAAAATCCCCATTTTCCCACCCCGGTATTCCCATTTTTCTGCCTCAAAATTCTCCATTTTTCCACCGCAAATTCCCCGGTTTTCCACACCAAAAATCCCCGTTTTCCTCCCCAAAATCCCCCATTTTTCCACCCCAAAATCCCCATTTTCCACTCCAAAATTCGCTTTTTTTTCCCCCTGGCGCGGCCGGGGCGGGGCCGGCGCCGCTCTCGGAGTTTTTTTTTTTTCCCGGATTTTTTTTTCCCCGAAGTTTTTCCCCCGGTTTTTTTTTTTTTTTTTTTTCCCGAAGTTTTTTTTCCCGGATTTTTTTTCCCTCGGATTTTTTTTTCCCCCAGTTTTTTTTTTATTCCCGACCTTTTCCCGGCGCTTTTCCCGCTCCTTTTCCAGGGATTTCGCCCCAAAGCCGCGGGCGCGGCCGCTCCGAGCCTCAAAAACCTCCGGAGGGGGTGAAAAAACCCCTTAATTTGCATAAATTTCCATAAATTTCCATAACCCCAGCCCGCCGGCAGCGCTGCGCCATAAAAGAGCAACGGGAATTAATTATTGGGGAGGGAATAAATTAATGAATTAATTAATTAAGGATGCGGGGGGGCCCCTGGGGGGGAGCGAGGGACGAACGCGGAGGAACCCGGGAATTCCAGAGGGTCCCGGGATTCCAGAAAGGTCCAAGGAATTCCAGAGGGTCCTAAATTCCAAATATCCCAAAAATCCCAAATCCCAAACCCTGAAGGTCCTAAAAATTCCAAAACTCCCAAACATCAAAAATCCCAAAAATCCCAAACCCCCAAAACCTCAAAAATGCCAAATGCCAAAAATCCCAAACCCCCCCCCCCCCAAAAAACCAATCCAAACACCAAAACCCCCAAAAATCCCAACCCCCAAATCCCAAAAATCCCAAAATCCAAAAATCCCCAAAATCCCAAATCTGAAAAGTCCCAAACCCCACAAATTCCAAAAAACCCAAAACCCTGAAAAATCCCCAAAATCCCCCAAAACCCCCAAAATTCCAAACCTCAAAAATGCCAAAAAAAAAGCCCAAAAATCCCCAAAACCCCAAATCCCAAATAACCCAAAAAAATCCCCAAAACCCCAAATCCCTCCCCAGCCCCTCCCCCACTCCCCCAAATTCCCATTTTTTTGGGAATTTTCCCTTTCCCACGGCAATCATTAATTAACCCGTTCGTTAATCAATTCATGAATGACTCCGTTCATTAATTAAAAGCGATTTTAATTTACACAGAAATAGTAAATGTCCGGAATTCCTTAAAAAAACGCGCTATGGACAATAAATACAGTACAAAATTCCAGCCGGGAATTCCGGGAATTTTCCGGCAATTCCGGGAATTTTCCTCCGGCCCAAAAATCCGGGAACCGACCCCAAAAATTCCCCCCACCCCCCCCACCCCGGGAGTCTGGGAACGACGGGAGGGAAAGGGTTAAAAACCCCCAAATTTCGGGAAAATGGGAGAGAAAGGGTCAAAAAACCATTGAATTTTAGGGAGAATGGGAGGGAAAAGGTTAAAAAAAAAACAAATTTGGGGAGGAAAAAGGTTAAAAACCTCTCAAATTTTGGGATGGAAAGGGTTAAAAAAAACCCCAAATTTTGGGGGAAAATGGTTAAAAACCCACCCAAATTTTGGGGGAAATGGGAGGGAAAGGGTTAAAAATGGGAAATTTTTTTTTAAAGGGTTGGGGGGGGGGGGGCCCAAAAAATGGGATTTGGGGATTTAAAATGAGAATTTTGGGGCAAAAAAAAAAAAAAAAAAAAAAAAAAAAAAAAAAAAAAGATTTTG